GGCGTGCTGACGGCCGCGGCGGCAGAGAACAGGCTGGCTGAGTGAAGGAGGGGGAGGGGGAACCGAAGGGCGCGGAGCTCTGGGCCAGAGTGGCCTCCCCCTCCCCGAGGTCAGAGGTCCTTTAGCCGCTGGGGACTGGGGCTGCAGCCTCTGCCGCTGGATTGCCTACTCTGACAGGCGCCATTTTACCGCCCAGAGGTCTCCTCTTCTCTTCCCCCTCCTCTTCCCCTCTGACACTACTTCCGCTGGTGACGTATATTTGCTCCACCGGGACTACGGTTCCTTCTGCTGGGTTTTAAGGGGGTAGGAAATAAGGGAAGCCGAGAGCGCCCGAACAAGGCTGCAGTATCGCGCACGCGCGGAAGACAACTGTGGGGCGGAGCCTGGGCCGAAGCTAGAAACGGTGTGGGCGGGGCAAGGTGACGTTAGTTGACCCAAGGTTCTGACCGCGTTGCGGAGGACGGGGGGCTCGTGGGACGCCCCGCGCTTTCAGACAGCAGTCCCAACGGCTCTTTCGGCCCGTCCGGGTGAAACGTGGGCTGTTGTTGCGAGCTCCAAGAATCTGGAGGTGTTCTTCCGCGAGACCCCCTCCGGAAATACTGAACAGAAAAGCACCTTGCATTCCAGACTTTGCCGGCGCTTAACAGGGAGGAATCCTGAATCCCCTGCTCCGTTCACTGGAGTGGGCGGGGTCGTGACGCCATCAGAGGGCGTCCTGAGTGGGCGGGGAACTGCAGTCAAAGATGCTGGAGTCTCTGTTGGCCCTTGGCGGATTGGTTCTGCTTCGGGGTAAGGGACACGGCCACAGAGTTCTGAGCCTAGTCCAGGGACCGGAAGTAGGCAAGAAAGGCCGCGGTTCACAGGCTCGGGGTAGAAGCTGTGACCCGTTCGTGAAGGCGGGAACTTCAGGCCTCTTCTTTCCCCAGATTCCGTAGAATGGGAGGGGCGCGACCTGTTGAAGGCGCTCATCAAAAAATCTGCACTTTGGTGAGTTATCTGGCTGAGGCTCCCGTTCTGCTCTGGGAAGGGAGCCTGTGTGCTACTCTTCGACTTTTCCCCCTTATCTCTGTCTAAGTGGGGAGCAGGTTCACGTTCTGGGTTGTGAAGTCAGCGAGGAAGAGTTTCGAGAAGGTTTTGACTCCAGTATCAACAGCCGGTGAGTACAAATGGGGAGATCCTTCTTTAGATGCAGGCCCTGTGTTGCAACTGACCTTGTAGTATGTAGTGGCAGCCATTTACTCATTGAAGGAATAGATGTGGATTTTTTTTTTCTTGAGACAGAGTCTCACTATGTAATTCAGGCTGGCTTTGGACTCACTATGTAGCCCAGGCTGGCCTCAAACTCGCGGCGATCTTCCTGCCACAGGCTCTCAAATATTGGGATTACAGGCGTGCACCACTGCTTCTGACCTGTAGATATGGATCTTTTAAAGGTGGTGAAAGTATGAGAAATGATGAAGAGTAGTGACAGTTTGGGCGATACAAAGCAGATATCCTAGAATTTAAGAGCGTAATAGTGATAAAAGGCAGACAGTGCAGTTTAGTACAAAAAGTCATACTAGAGGATAAGAATAAATATACTCTGCCTTTTGAATTGTCTAGAATGTAGTGGTGCTTAAATCAGTCATGGATTCTAGATTTGGATCAACACTGACTGCAAGCTACTGAGGGACTTGTCCCAGAGACAGAAAAAATGATAAGTAATACCTGTTAATGGGAGGTGGAAGAGCTTCCTGAGGTACCTGAGGTCATGCAGATCAAGAGGTTAAAGGCCAGGGATTTAGCTCAGTGGTTCCGCTGCCTGCCTCAAAAGTGCAAGGACCCAAATTTTATCCCTGGTACCAAGAAAAAAAAAAAATTAAAGGGTTAAGTCTGAGATTGGGAGAAAGTGTAATATTATGTCTCTTATTTTCTCTTTGCAGAGTGGTTTACCATGACTTCTTCAGAGACCCTTTCAATTGGTCAAAAACTGGGGAGGCTTTTCCTGGGGGACCCCTGGGAGCCTTGAGAGCCATGTGCAGGACGACAGATCCCAGGCCTAGCACCATTGCTCTTGACTCACTCAGCTGGCTGTTGCTTCATTTTCCCTGTACCACAGTCTGCCAGACCCTCCATACTCTGCGCAATCAAGGTTCCTGCTGTGGTGAGACCCTTGCTTTCCCTCATATATCTCTTCCTGCCAAAGAATGGCTCCTTTTTCCTTTCTACCTTAAAAAGAAACATCAAGGATCTTTAATCCAACCTTATTCAAACTCTTCAACCTTTTTTTTGGTGCCAGAGATCAAACTCAGGACCTTGCACTTGCCAGGCAGGCATGGCACCACTGAGCTACATCCCTGGCCCAATATATTTGGTCTTTTTTGGTGTGTACCAGGGATCAAACTCAGGACTTTGTACTTGCAGGGCAGGTGCAGTGCCACTGAGCTAAATCCCCAGCCCTCCTCAACCTTTTTTATTCATTTCTTTGATCCATTTAACAAATACTAATAGGTACAGTGTGTTAGGTACATTCTAGGTAACAGGAAAATAAAAACCAACTTTGTGGTTGTGTTCTTGCCTTCCAGGAGTTCAAAGTCTCATAAAGGACGCAGGCAAGTGAACAGGTAGTTACAAGGTAGTCTGATAAGAACTGTGATGATATAGGGACATGTACAAGGTACCTTAAGGAAGGAAGAGCAACAAGTCAGCCAGGCTTATCCAGACAGGGGCATTGGGATTAGCCCTGAAGTGCACTGCAGGTTTGGAGTTAGACATGTCAAGCTTTGTATGAAAGTACCTGATCTCAGGGTGCTTCAGTTTCCCCTGCAAAAAAGTGGTGAGGGGAGAGGTACAACATTGGAATGAACCATTTGAAATTGTCATATTGCTTGGTCTAACAGTGCTGATCTTTGCCTGAGTGTGGTGGCACAAGCCTGTAACTCAGGAGGCTGAGACAAGAGGATCCCCACAAGTTCAAGGCCAGACTCATTTCAAGTCTACCCTGAATTACAGAGCAAGACCATGTCTCAAAAAGCCGATAAAATAAACTAAAAAGAGAAAAGGACTGGGAGTGTAGTTCTGTGCAAAGGCCCTGGGTTCAGTCCTTAGTACCACCAAAAACAAAAAGCCTCACCTTTGTAAGTATTAAAGTGCTGTGTTGAAGTGTTTGGTCCAGTGCCTGATACTGTTAACGCTCCCAGAAATGGGGGTAAGAAAGGAGGCACTGAGATCTTGCAATGTTTTCAAAACTGGAAGTAGTTGAGTAAGAGATGAGACTGGAAAGTTAATGGAGTTAAGTACTGAAAGTATTTGTGCCATCCTGAAGGCCGTGAGGAGCAGATTTATCTTAGAGTAAGAAAGTATTAAAGTGTAGGTAAGAGGCTCAGAGCAGGGCAATGAAATCAGCCAAACATTGTGGCAGAGTTAGGATGGAATGCAGGTCACCCCATCCTTCACTATTTTCTCCTAGCCCTCCACTCTGTAGTTTTCCTGCTGTCTTTTGTGTACTTCATTTTCTTGTTCTTCTCCAGGTGACAGCTCCCTAGTACAGCAGGTGAACGTGCTGGGCCTGCTTCATGAAGAGCTCCATGGCCCAGGTCCCCTTGGAGCACTGAGCAGTCTTGCTCAGACCGAAGTGACCCTGGGTGGCACAATGATCCAGGCCTCAGCCCATATCCTCTACCGGAAGCCCCGACATCAGCCAACTCATCAGGTTAGGAAAAGCAATAAGGAAGATAGAGATTAGGGTCAGAGAAAGTAGTGGCATGATGGGAAGAACAATTTTTTAAAAAGCCTACATAATTTCATACTTGCCTGTGGCTTTCTGGTTTTTATTTTTATGATGCCTTGATTGAACACAGGGCCTTATCCATGGTGTGCATATTCCCTTACCACTGAATTATGTCCCCTACCCCTCTAGCCGCTTTCCCTGTGTTTTCTGATACTTACCTCATTTGATCATCACAGCTACCCTGTGAGGTAGTCATTTTATCATCCTTATTTTGCAGACTGGTAAACAAGTCCAGGGAAGTTTAAATCACCCAAAGATAAAGCGTAAGTGACAAGTGGCATAGCCAGAATTTGCTCAGGATTTCTTGATTAAAAGTTTGTGAACTTAACAATGAAAGATACTGTGTCTTGCAGAAAGTTGAAAAAAGGTTTTTTAAAATGAGGTAGTTATTAAGGCAAGAAGGAACAAGTCCACAGGGAAAGACTTAAAAGAGGTATTAGAAATTGAGGGCAGAGGTTGCAAGCAGCCAGTTTAGATGATTGGAAACTGAGGACTCAAGATTCTGTATTCTCTGGTTGGTTCAGTAAGATGAGAAAATACTTTTAACTCTTGTCTTCTCCCCAGACTCAGTGGTTTTCCATCCGTCCTGACTTCAGCCTGGATCTCCAAGAGGGGCCACCCCTGCAGTCCCAGCCCCACCCAGATCCTCACACATTCCCAGTAATTAACAGTGCCAAGACCAGAACAAGGGAACTTGGGGTCTGACAAAAGGAGAATAAAAACTACAGACGTTGGGCGTGGGGTCAGATTCCATGAATGGGTCCAAGAAGCAGCATCCTTTGTACCTACAGGTGGATCCCACAACTCATTTGACCTTTAATCTTCGCCTGTCCAAGAAAGAAAGAGAAACCAGAGATAACCTGACTCTGCCCTTCCAGTTCAGCTCTGAAAAGTAAGGTTGGGGCTTAGGAGCCTGACTCCATTGAATAGAGCCCAGCATCTGGGCCAGAGAGGTGGAGTGATGACAGGTTTGTTGTTTTTTTTTTCAGTAGCGGGAATCAAACTCAGGTCCTTGAGCTTTCAAGACAGGCGGTGTAACCACTGAGCCAAATCCCCGGCCGATGACAGGTTATTGATTAACCTCTCAGACAGTATAGGGGCTGAAGTCCACCTCCAGAGACAAACCCAGGGAGTGGTTCCTTACCTTCCCATACCTCTCACCATGGCAGAGGGCCTTCCTGTCTTCTCTCTTCACTAGAGCCATGGAATCCAGCTCCCTATTTGTTCCCAGAGTAATTTGCGCCTGGGCTGAGCCAGACCAGAACCTGGGGAGGTGTCCTTTCTCCAGGAAGCAGTAGTAGGACAGGAAACTACATGGGTGTGGCAAAGGCTGCCACTCTTTGCTCAGTGTGTGGGTAGGTGAAGCAAGATGGCAGCAGAATCTTTGCCCTCAAGCTGCTAAGAACTTGAAAGAGTGTTGTTAGGGCAGTATAAGAGCACCTGCGCCTAGGTGGGTGGTGCTTTAACCCTGACAAATAATGGGAGTCAGAGAGGGACTTCCAGGAAGTAGACACAGAGGCTTAGGAGTTTGGCTCAGTGACAGTCACAGTCACCTTGGAAGAAGGTATCTAGACCTGACCTGTTACCCACCCTCACCAGCACCAATTCTTCCCTCCTCAGACAACAGGCTCTGCTTCGCTCTGAGCCAAACCAGGCTTCCAGCCACATCTTGTATGAGCCAGATGCTTATGATGACCTGGACCCAGAAGATCCAGATGATGACTTGGATGTTTGACAGTCAAATTTAACCAGACTGTAGAGGGTGGGGATAGGAGGCCCAGAACTTCCCTTCAGTTTGCATTGGCCTTACTCTGTCCCTGCCCTGCCTTTGCTCCTTTGTCTATGGAGGCTCTGCCTGCAAGTCAGGGAGCAGCAGCTGATCAAGGCAGAAAGTTGGAGGGCATAGGATAAGGCAAGAGAATAGGAACCCTCTTAATAAAGTGTTTTATTATTAATAAAACAAACTTTTCATAACTAAAGAACTGGGGGGATGGGGAGCATCTGAGTCAAGAGTCCAGAGTTGAGGTATTGGGCTTAACTAACAATGAAATGGGTTGGGACAGCCTGGCACATTACTGGTGCTCTAAAAGTGGAAGTTTTTTATTTTGCTTTGGGGGGGGGGATACTGGGGATTGAACTCAGGACCTTGCACTTACGAGACAGGCAGTGGAACCACTGAGCTAAATCCCTGGCCCTTTATTTTGCTTTTTAAGTGAAGTAAATGCTCTTTAGGTGTCATGTCCCCTGTTAGGATTTGGGCAGGAAGAAAGCAGAGGTTGAGAAGAAAAAGCCTATTTTCCAAAACATTTTTTATTACTGTACAAAAAGCACACCCTCCCTTTTGCCACCCCCCCTTCCCCCTCAACTATACATGGTGTGCAGGGATGGACTGAGTAGGAGCCCTTTGTCCCACACCCTGCCCACAGGCGGAGCCCTCTACTCCAGGTTCTAGAGGGCATCTAGGCACACCCACAGCCTGTCAGGCTGGAGCCTGGGAACCCCAGCTCACACATACTCCTTGGCAGAGGCGGACTTGGGGTAGGTCTGGGGAGCACGGTAGGAAGCTTTGCTCTCACGTATAGGACAGGAGCAGGAGAGCAGCCCGCCTCCCAGCAATGCCAGGGCAGTCCCTGCCCAGCCAATAAAGAGAGCAGATCCAAACTCGTACCTGTGGAGAGAAGGGATCAGGATTCCAAACATTGGCCTGCTTTTACCATCCTCCCAAGCCCAGGACCCCAGATCACCTTTGGCTCCCAGACTTACTTAGCATTCACAGGAGTATAAGGGTTATAAAAGTCTGTGACAATCTGATGAGTACACCAGGCACATGCTATCAAGGAGGCAAGACCTGATGAGAGAATGAGGATTCCAATACTGTGAGCACCAAAACTTTACCCACCCTCCTGGATGGGCAACAAGAGAGCCCTGGTGTAACTCACCTGCCACGATGAAAACGATGCCTCCAGACATGGCTATACGGGCCTTCTTCAATTTGTCATCTCCCCCACAGCGGGTGCACTTCATACCCACGGTGGCCGCAAACATGGCCAGGAAGCCCAGGACCAAGGACAACACCATTAGGGCTCGAGTGGCTTGTGTTGTCGCTGCGAAGGAGAAAGGTGGCCGTCATTGATGGATGTTCAGGTGGCTCCAGCCTTCCCCTAGGGCCCGGGGCCCCTTCGGTGTCCAAGGTCTGCCTGAGCCCAGGTTCCCGCCCCCTGGCGACTAGGCGGCCTTCCTGCTCCAGCCCCGCCCTCTCAACCTGCCTGGGGCGCCAGGGTTTCGATGAAACTGCTCTGGATAGGGGGAAGGGTGAAATGGGGTAGCAAAAAAAGTGCAGGTGGCTGCCATGGCGTCGGCCACCCCTCACCCATCGTCACATCGCGGCGAATGGCCCAGCCTGGCCCGCTATCCAGGACACAGGGTTTGTGGCTTCGGCTAATCGACAGATAAGATTAGAGGCCGCTGGCGGCGGCCCACTTCTGACAACCTACATGGCACCGCTGCCCTCAGCTCGGCCTGCGCCCGGTGCCCCTTTTGTAGAAAAGGGCGGGAGGAGGCCGAGGGTGCGGAATGCCCTCGGCGGTGGGAAAAGGGACGACCCTGGTGGGAGGAAGCGCGACCAGGACCGAAGGGGGGGGGGGCTGGGTGCCGGCCCACGTGCTGCCGCCAGAACCCGCGGAGCTCCGGCCCAGGCCCACTGCCCTCCGGATCGGACCACTTCTACTTCCTCCTGCTCCCTGGCAACCCTGGGCGCCCGGCCGTGGGGCCTCCGCCACACCCCAGCCCGCCACTTGGACCCTGGACGCGTTCGCCCCGTCGATCCAGTGCCTTACCCGGCAGGGCGAGCACCGACTCGTACTTTTTGCAGTTCATCAACCCGGTGCTCTGCGTGACGCACTCCATCCATAGCCCCTTGTACATGGCCTGGGCCGTGATGATGTTGTCGCCCGCGTACGAGCTCACCTGCCACTGCGGGATGGCAGTGCTCACCACCAGGGCCACCCAACCCAGCATCGCCAGGGAAAAGCCCAGCAGCTGCAGGCCCGAATTGGCCATTTCCGCCCTCGGAAAAGACTGGACGCGGAGCAGGCGACCCGACCGCAAAACAAAGTGTGGGCGGCAGCCACACAAAAGACAACGAAGGTGAAGTTTTACGTCCTCCAAAGAGACAACAAAGTTTTTTGCTGAGTGATTGTGAATCTTCTTGTCACTTGAAGTAAACACAAATCGACCCCTCCGGTGAAGCGACGGTTTCAAAGCAGACAGACAGGCTGCGCCCGAACTACTGGTTTCAGACAAAAGCCGTCCCCGAAGGCCAGGCAGTTCGCTACCCCGTCTGGGCTCAGTCCTCAGAGGTGACCTGGCCAGTTAGCAAGAGACTGCGGGGGGCGAGGGAAGATGCTGGGCGGTGAGCCGCCAGGTGCGGTAGACAGGTGCGGCGCACCTGCGTATATACGCAGGGAGTCGGGGGCGCGCCCCAGGGACAAGGGAACGCGGGAGGGAGGGCGGGACCGGAGAGGCAGCCGAGGGTGACCTTACGTCACTGAAGGGACACTCACCTGAACCGGAAGTCCTGGCCCCCACCCCTCCGTGTCCAGGTGAAGAGGAAGAAACCTGAGCACCGGGTCACGCCCCTTTCACTTGCCGGGCTTTAACAGCGGCTGGACCGGAGGCTATGGCCTCTGGGCAGTCTCTAGCTCCCAGTCAGCCCTTGGTGACTGGTCTTCCCTTTGACACCAGGTTACCCTTTCCCTCCTTCCCCTTAGGTTCGCCTGGGATACTGCGGAGCCACAGCTGGGGGACGCTCCGGGAAAGACTCGGTGCCACACCCCACACCCCGCCAGTTTCCGCCCGAGTGCTCTTCGTCGAGCCCTACTTTCGCCTCCACCCTGTGGTGTTCTCCTTTTTCTTCTCCTACCTAGCTGATCCCACCTTGAAGGGCCTTGGCCCATTCCCGGGGAATCTCCTCTGCCTGCTTGGAGTCGCAGAGACATCTCCCCAGCATTCTTCACCTTCACAGCCCCTGCCCTCTGGGGAGGTGCTCCATCAGGCTTCTGGTCATTGCTCCCCAACGACCCCAACTTCCTGCTACCCCCGTTCCAACCCCTAATATAACTTAATGGCTGGGCCTCTCACTGGCCCCTTCAACATCAAGGCTCCTTCTAGTAAAGGAAAAAACCTCTGAGGAAAGAGCCAGCAGAAGGTGGGGAGTACCTCCTCCCCAGCCACACACTTGTTCCTTTCCCTCCTCTGAGCTTGGGCCAGCCTCTGTTTGTACTCTTCCATTCCCCTACTGCTCTGTCCTCAATAACCTGTGGCTCTCCAAGGTGGCCCTCAAGTAGCTCAGTGGTGCCGCCACCTTCCTGGAAAGCGGAAGGTCCTGAGTTCAATTCCCCCCATATCAAAATACATACATAGATACATACAAACATACATACATACATAAAAATAAAAAAGGAAAACTCAGGGGCACTCTGTGCTTCTGTGAGTAAATGCTATACCATGGCTTACCAAACTCTGCCTCAGCTACACTGGCCTCTGTGTTCCTGAAACATACAACGTATGGTCTGTCTCACGGTAGCACCTCTACACACTCTGTTCTCTTAACCTGAATGCTCTTCTCTCACCACCCCATCCACTTCCCTCTACCCAGCTAACCAACTCCTCCTTAGGTATCAATTTAAGGTTCACTATCAGGAAGCCTGGCCTGACTGCCCCACCCCAGAATGAGTCAGATCATCACTCAATGTTCCCATAGCTCTGTACTTTTCTTTTTTCTGGTTTGTTTGTTTGTTTTTTTGTACCAGGGATAGAACTCGAGTCCTTGTGCTTGCAGGGGCAGGCGGTGGAACCACTGAGCTAAATCCCAGGCCTGTTTTTGTTGTTGTTGTTGTTTTGTACCGGGGATCTAACTGGGGTCCTTGCACTTGCGTGGCAGGCATCAAACCACTGAGCTAAATCCCCGGCTTGTTTGCTGTTTTTGAGACAGGGTCTTGTGAAATCCATAAATTGCCCAGGTTGGGCTTGAACTTGTAATTCTCCTGCATCAGTCTCCCAGACTGCTAGGATAGCAGGTCGACACCACCACACTCAGCTTGTGTCTGGATTTTTATCACCAGTGAATATTTGATGAATGAACTGTAAATAAATAATATTTTGATCCACTGTTCCACAGATATTTCTGAATATCTATTATGTGCCAAACCCTATACAGTTCTTGACCGTAACAACACACTAGTGAACAAAATAGATAAAAGACACTGTGCTTGGGTAACTTATTTTCTAGAAGGAGGAAGAAAGCAATAAAGATATAAAATGGTAAAAGCAATGAAACAGTACTGTGATGAAATCTGAGTCCAATCTCAAATAAAGTCAGAGCTACTTTCTGGGGGAAGTGACTTTTGCATGAGCCAATCACAGCAAATGCAAAGGTCCTGTGTCAATCGCCCCTTTGAGAATTGTGGTGATTGATTTTTTTTCCAGTATCAGCACTCGAACTCAGGACATTGTGCTTGCCAGGAAGGTGCAGCACCACTGAGCTATACTCCCAGCCCTGTAGTGGTTGATATAAAGCAAAATTTCTTGCTTTTTTAAAAAATAAATTTTATTTTATGTTATCCCATTCCCCCCTCAAGCCCCCTCCCCTCCCTATGTACAAAAGCTTTGTTTCCATTTTTTCCTTCTATTTTCACTTTTTTTGGTCCCTTCCTTTCTCCCTCCCTCCTCCCTTGTTCCCTTTCCCATTTGAACACTTTCTTCCCATTTCCCAACATCCATTATACATTTCAGTCCTTATTTCCACTTTCTGTTTAAAAGCAAAATTTCTTAACACTGGTGCTATTGACATATGGGGCATATTGACATATTGATAATTCTTGGTTAGCCTGTAAATTACAGGATATTTAGCAGCATCCCTGACATCTATCAATTAGATATGATTAGAATGTATCCAGCCCCCCACCACGTGACAATCAGATAGGTCTCCAGACATTGCCTAATGTTTTGGGGAGGGAAGGAACAAAACTCTTCCCAGGTAGGAATTACTGATTTAATATACTGGTGAGAGGCTGGGGATTTAGCTCAGTGGCACGCCTGCCTCACAAGTGCAAGGTCCTGAGTTCGATGGGGGGGGGGAATTTATCAAAATGATACTGGTGAGCATCATTGTAGATTCGTCCCCGCCACTCCCCACCCCCAGTAGCCTTGCACCATTGGGTGCAAGAACCCAAGTGGCTGGATGGCAGGAATGTCCCAATGTTGAGGTTTTGCTAAAATAGAGGGGGAGCGATTATATTTGATTCTGATGTGAATTGGATCAGAAGGGTAGTCAACACAAAAAAGAAATGGTGAATAGTGAAAACTGATAGTCAGTGATTCAGAGGTCCTCATGGGACAAAAGAAGTAAGAATACATGCATAAATGAAGTGAAAATCCAGGAGGAGATCATGGGAGGTTATTTTTGGAAATAACAAAGGCTAGGGAGGGGTCTTCGGATGGGCTGAGGACCTTGGAGGTAAAACTAGGGAGCTGAGAGGGTTCAATTACATAGGTTGCCCTGAGGGATTTTGTTTCATTTTGTTTTTTGGAGATGGAGTCTTGCTATATTTTCCAGGCTGGACTAAAACTCCTGGCCTAAGGCAATACTAGTGCAGCTTCCCAAGTAGCTGGAACTACATGTATGTACAACCATGCCTAGCTACTCTGAGGAATTTTGAAGTAAAAAATGATGATAGAGGGCCGGGAATTTAGCTCAGTGGTTCCGCTGTCTGCCTCGCAAGCACAAGGTCCCAAGTTTGATCCCCGTACCAAAAAAAGAAAAATGATGATAGAAAAGTAGATATAAAAAGGAAATAATCTAGGGCCGTGGATTTAGCTCAGTAGTTTCGCCGCCTGCTGCGCAAGCGCAAGGACCAGAGTTTGATCCCTGGTACCAAAAAAAAAAGGAAATAATCCAGATGCTGCTAAAGTTATCAGTGCATGTGGGTGAATGACCAGACTTGAAGACCCTAGCAAAAAGTAAAGATAGCAGGTAATACATACAAGATATGAGCTGCAAAGGAGCAGGAAAATTTGAAGGATGAAGGACAAATAATGGTTCAGATGCAGACTGGGGAGCAGTACTTCCAACTCCAAATGCTGAGGTAAGGTGAACAAGACCAACAGATAAGGCTTTATAAAGAGGGCTTCCAGAGAAGTGTGTTCTCCAGACAGACAGGTATCAGTACTGGCTCTTAAGGGGAAAGGCTGGGCATGGAGTCTAGAGGTCACAACGGAAGAGTCTAAAACACTGAGTCTGGCTGGAAGGTAAACTCAGATTAGGGGAAATGTACCCAGTATGTGGACGATCACTTTTTAGTTCACCTGAAATGAGAACCCAGTCAACTTGTTTGTTTCTATTAAAAATGTTCTAAGTTCTGAAAAACTGAGTCATAAATGAACTTTGGAAAATCGTAGGATTAATGTTTTAGTATTTGCAGTATTATTTTAAAACTATGGGAGCTGAGCTTTTAACTTAGTGGTAGAACATGTGCTTAGTACACACAAAGCCCTGGATTCAATCCCCCAAAACAAACAAAAACAAAACAACAACAACAAAAAACAAGAATTGCAGAAACTAATTGATAGAGTCCAATACTGCCATGCTTTATGTATGTAGTAATAAATTTTGTATGTTCTTTCCTCTATTTTTTATTAATACATATTTGCAGCACAAAATGCTTGCATTTATCCTGGGAGGTTTGTACTGTACATAACACATCTTAGTTCTTTTTTGTCCTCTTCTCCTCTCATCCCTCCCTCCAGCTCTTGTTCCCCTTCTCATTTGCAAAAGCTCTGATTCCATTTTTTTGCTTCCATTCTTTCTTTCTTTTTTTTTTGTCTCCCAGCACCAGGGATCAAACTCAGGACCTTGCCCTTGGCAAGTAAGTGCGGCGCCACTGAGCACCATTCCTGGCCCTTCTTCAATTCTTTTTTTAAAATCCCTTTTCTCTTCCCTCCCTCTCCTCTCCCTCCATGCCTTGTTTCCCTTCCCACTTGAAAAAGTTCACCCTATTCCTATTATCTATCTTTTATTTTGCTCTTTATTTATATTTTGAGTTTCTCATATAATAGAAACCATTCGATATTTAAACTTGAGGGTTTTTTTTTCACTTAATATTTTATTTCACTTAATATTATGGACTTGAAATGCATCCATTTTCCTACAAATGTCTCAAGTTTATCTTTCTTTATAGTAGAGTAATATTCCATTTTCTTTATCCATTCCTTTGTTGATGGGCATATAGGCTGTTTCCAAGATTTAGCCATTGTAAGTTCTGCAGCTAGCAACATGAGTATGGATGTATTACTGTAATATGATGAATTTAACTCTTTTGGGAAGATACCTAGAAGAGGAATAGATAACTAAAAGAGGAATAGCTGGGTCAAATGGAATTTCTATTTTTAGGGGGGAGGTTTGTTTGGTTGGTTGGTTGGGGT